CTCCCACAAGCTCATTAATGAGATAGATAAATAAATGATAGAAAGAGAAATGGATAGATGGATAGATGGATGGATAGATAGACAGATAGATAGATGACACATTTATTAAGCATTTAGTATGTTCAATGCACTGTGCTAAGCCCTAGGGATACAAATACAAGACAATCCCTGCCCTCAAGGAGTTTACATTCTAAAAGCGGAAGACAACATATAAAGGGGAGCTGGAAGGGAGAAAAGGGGAGAAAGAGGGAAACTGTGCAGGGGCATGATATGGAGGAGGCCTGTTGTCAAAGCCTAGACCCTGGCAAGACATGACAAAACCTCACTCAGAGCTGAGAAATCCAATGATGCTTGGAGTCCAGATTCCAGGTACAGAAAGAGGTAAAGGTGATGGTCTAAGTAGAAAAGACACGGTATAGAGCAGGCTGAGAAGGTCAAGAGTATTCTCAGAACATGATAAGAGCAACGTCTTAGCCTTCTCCCCATGCAGGTCAGCCTAGTTTTTCCTTAAAAGGTATTGAAACATTCCTTGACACTTAGCTGGCTCAAGGGATTAAGGTTCAGATTGTTGATGTCACTTTCTCATTGCCAAGTACAAAAGGATCCTGGAGGGCCTGGGAGAAGGGTATCTTAGAGGTTTGGCTGGTGAATCACGATGGGTAATTTAGCTAAGAGAGGGTCACTCACCTGAATCAGTTTGAGTTTCCTTAATATCTATCTTTGCTGGACATCCTTCACCTGTTATGGTTGAGTAAATCTCCTTTCCTTAACTATTCAGTGACCTACAAATATCTTATTTCATTCCAATATCAAACCTAAACTACCAAACAACTGGTTTGAGTCAGGCCCAGCCCAGAACACAAGTGCATCTATGGCTAATACAATGGGAATAATTTGTCTAGAAAGAATGTGGGAAGAGCATCTCTTGTCCCTTGTTGAGGACTAGCACGTTTTCTCCTTACTGTGCCTAAAGAGAAGGATGGCACTTGATGCTTGCCCTTAACTCCTGCTATTTTTTCTTTCTGGAAAACCTTTAAGGAGAAGAGATAGAGATTGGCTTCAAGATAAAGACTGGCATATCTTACACATGCACAAATATCATAGGTTCTAGGCAAATTCCACCTCTCCTCTCCCATTACCTTCTACCTCTCCCCAGTGGGATCTATCCTCCATCCCCTCTATCCCACTCCTTCCCAGGGGACCAGTAACAGATGTACAGTCAGAATATGACATTACCCTTCCCCCAATGCTTCAGATTAAAGATCCAGGGTCTTTTTCTGATCACCTTGTTCACTGGGACATGGGATCATAGACTTCTTGAGTTGAAAGTGATATCAAAAGGATAAATTGTCCATGTCTTGGCCTCAGGGTGGGATGGTTCTTGTAATGTAATGTAATGTAATGTAATGTAATGTAATGTAATGTAATGTAATGTAATGTAATGTAATGTGGGCAAAAGGCTCACAGGATAAGGTGTTGTTAGTGATTCAGAGGTATTTGTCAATAAGGCTAAAGTCATAGTTTGTATTGGGTCAGGCTTGAGGGAGGCTGACTGTTGTATTTGTCAGACAGTCCACACCTAGTAGCAATATAACTGAGGGAAATGTGACACAGGGAGCCTGGGCCAAATGGAAATGGGGCTGCTTCTTTGACTTTTCCAAACTTTCTTTGAAAAGAAGAGGTTTCCCTTATTCTAGTTTTCCTGGAAACTCCTTGAAGAGAAATACTCTCCCCTTCACCCTAGCCCTACTCTATCTTTTCAGGATTGGTGAAGGGCAGCTATGTGTAGTGATGGGGGCACCAGTGACATGACTTTATTCTTCTTTCTGTTCAAGTGAATCCCAGAATATCTACAAAAAGTTGGGTTGAGGAGTCTAACAGCACAGAACTCTCTTTGTCTCAAGGAAGAGACATATATAGGACAAGTCATCTCCCAGAGTAAGAGATTCCAAGAATTCCAAAGCCATGTGGTTTAGTGGAAAAAGCACTGACCTTGGAACCTCACATGACTTGGGCTGGAATCCTACCACTTATTTATCTATATGGTCTTGTGTAAGTTACTTGTCTGAACTTCAATTTCCTCATCTATAAAATGAGGGAGTTAAACTGAATGATCTCTATGGTTCCTTCCAACTCAAAATCCTAAAATTCTATGACCTCTCAGAGTAGGATCATAGGATTCAGGAGAATTTAGAAGCATTTAGTGTACCCCCTTCATTTTCCATATGCAGAAACTGAGGTTTATAAAGGTTAAATGACATGCCCAAGGTCACACAGTAAATGAATCTGCAGACCACAGGGCAAGAAATAGCCATTAAGAGCCTGGGAGGCAAGATCTTTCATAGGAGCCAGCTCTCGGAAAATAATCATTGGCCTCAACTCAATATCTGGCCTCTGCACCTTTGCTAAACATAGAAAGAGCACCCTGTGATAAGACCTGGGAGGGAAACTATCCCTCCCAGTTCCAGGAAGGGGGGGACTTAACCAGTCATTTCTCTCCAGCCCACACTATTTCTGCCCGTAAACACAACCGAGGAGTGGAGTGTAGCTGCCTACTAGATTACTTCCAAGGGCCTGGGTATCCAGTTATGCTCAGATTGCCTGATTCATGTAGATAATTATTAAACTGTCATGGAAAAATCATAGATTAATAAGTTGATTGGGCATGTAGTAGAAAAAATAAATCTTATGTGGGCTTACTGCTCTACAAAAGTGATGGGACCAGTGGTAATAAAACACACACACACACACACATAGTAATTCTGGTCAAACCCAAATCCACTGTGTGTGAGTATTCCTACTGAAAGGGGACTTCTCTTTACAGAACCTCTTGTGGAACTGAGATTATCCAGACTGTAAGGTTCCTTCCAATGGTCCAGGAGCAAGGCATACTGGAGAGGATCTGTAGTGGGTATAGGCATACATACACATACATAAAATGGGAGCAGAGGAAAGAAGGGTTCCCTGAGCACATCACAGGCAATCATTTTAAATTCAACCACATCCCTAGGAGGTAAAAGTATAGTAGGATCTTCATCTTAGCTAGAGATGTGGCAGAAAGGCTCAAGGCTTAGTTGAGCTCTGACGCAGGGTTCAGACTGATTAGCTAAAATATACTCACATTCCACTCACCAGGAGGACAGAGCAGTTTTGGTTTTCTCTATCCTTATCCTATGGGAATTCCTAAAATCTAATCATACTAGTCCCAGGACCAAGTCCTATACAGGGTCAATGGATCGGGGTATAAACCTGGACTGTGATTTCAACGAATTTATGATCCTACAAACTCCCAAATAAGACAGAAATTCACTAATTCCAGGAACAGCTTTTCTCCACCTACTCTTGCTTAATGAGAAAATCTAGATACCCCCACCAGATCAAAGTTGTGAATAAGATGGTCATATTTCATCTGAGAGTACCTAATTAGTTCATGCTTAGCTTTTCCCAACCAAGGCCATGGCATTAAACCCAATTCACTCTGGATCTCATTGATTGGACAATAATAGGTCCCTGACCAAGCACCAGTTTGATTTTTTTTTTAAATTAAAGGAGCCATCCCTTGACTCACGTCTTAAAGAGGCCCATTCACTGAATGGGTGTTGCTGCACTCAAAGTGAGAAATAGAAAATACTTTAGCTTAAAAAAGCAAAGGTCTCCCCCTGCATCCTGGGCCATCTCCAGTCATCCTGATTATATCTGGCTACTGGACCCAGATGGCTGTGGAGGAGAAAGTGAGGCTGGTGACTTTGCATAGCCCTCTCTCACACAAATCAAATTCAATTGCAAGTCACGTCATCATCTCCCTGATGTCATGGTCCTCTTTGAGAACAAAGGACAAACCACATACAACTATGGCAAAATGCTGTTTGTAAGCAGCTCCTCTTATCTCCACCAAATTTCCTCTTTCACTCCTTCCTACAAATCTCAAATATGGACTATTTGTGTCCGATCTGTGATGGAGCCTCTGATTGACCACAGTCTGACACACTGTCCATTTACTCCAACATAGTGATATCATTTTGGTCCTCTTTGAGCATGAAGGATGACAAACTACAGACAACTGTCTGTTATCTGGCATCTCCAAGGAATGGGATGTTGTTGTTAATGTCATTACCATGTGTTCCACATATGGATGAACAATTCCCAAGACCAATCCATATACAATAATGTACACAACACTACAAATTATACTAAATGAAATTTAATCTTTGCTTTCTCAAGTGTTCTTTATGATCTTTCAGTTCTTTGACCGTCTCAGAATAATAAAAATAATAATAACAGCTTGTATTTATGTAGTGCTTTACACTTAACAAAGTGCTCTCATTTACATAGGTCAGTTTATTTATACCTCACAACAACCCTGTGAGGTAGGTAGTACAAATATCATGATCCCAGGTTTACAGAGGAGGAAAATAAGCTTCAGAGGTTAAAAGCCTTACCCAAGGTCACACATTTAAGCAAAGGAGTGTCTATAATCCCTAGTTAGTAGAGGCAGCATTATATAGTAGAAGGTGTCCTCTTCCAGAACAAAGGAAAACCAACCAAGTAGAAGGCACACTAGTCTAGGATTCTGGAGATCTCCATTCTGGTCACACCTCTGCCCCAGTATGATCTTGGTTAACTTATTTACCCTCTTTGGACCTCAGCTGTCTTATGAAATGATAGGGTTGGCTGGGATGATTCCTAAAGTTCCTTCTGTCTATAAAGCCCTTTGTATGTCCCAGCTCTGCTAGGGGAGTTTACTCTCCTTACATCCTCATTCCCTAACCTTCAGGGAGTTAAAGGTATTTGTAAATGCTCCTAAGGGAGTGATTGATGGCTCTGAAGAAAACCTGGACCAGGCTGAAAGTATTTCACTCCAGTGCAAGGCCGATGCCACTGGCAGTCCTAGACTCTAGCCTCCCCAAGTGCAGCATGAGAAAGGTGTAAGATGAGCCATCCCACTGATACTTGGAGTGGTTGGGACAAAAGAGAACTTTACTGCCTAAGCCTCTGGACCACGGACTCTCACAAAAGGGGGATATGTAGGTAGAGAAGGATGGTGAGAAGCAGCATCTCAGGGACTAGAATGACCTCCCTGCTCCCACTCCCACTCCCAATCCCCAACCCCACAATACAGAACAAGTATGGTCAGGTGGTGACCTCATGGCAACAAACCATACTCTGGGATAGTGGGAAAAGAGGTGAGACATGGATATCTGGCCTCTTCCTCTGTCCCTTTGCCCAATCAGGTGGTTGGACTTATCTTGGGGTCTCAGGTGAGGGGAGAGAATGTACAACAGCATCAACCACTGAGCCCCAGCTTAGGAATGAACTCACTGCCCAGATCCTAGTAGAGCCACATTTACATTTTATGATTGTGAACTCTTTTAAAAGCACTTTCATGAAAGTTATCTCATTTTGGAGAGATGGCGTGGTGGAGACAGCCAAAAGCTGCCTCAGAGACAGAAAGACCTGACACAAACTGCCTTAGTGACCCTGGGAAAATGAACCTCTCACTGCTCCTAAGTTGCAGAGAGGGCAGAAGATGCTGACCTGCATTAGTAGTGGGCATTTCCTGTGTCAGTGAAGTCATCAACCCAGTGCCTTTCTTGATATCTTATCCTCTTAACAACCTTGACCACCCTTATATATTTTTCTTCCCCATCCAGCTGGACGCCAGCAAGTAGAGAGACACCTCCTTTAAGATCAGAGTCCTGAGCAATTATTACTATTGTAATATAAATATCCCCATGATATATACAGACTAATACATACAATGTGTCCTAAAAGTCTTAGTGCAGTCTCACAGTTTAATAAGCTTAAACTTAAGCTTTCATAAACTCACAACTGCACTAAGACTTTTGGGACTTGCTGTATTAATAATACCATCTCATATTATTATAGAACACACACACACACACACACACACACACACACACACACACACACACACATACAAGACAGCTTCTTAGGAACTTTACTGACAGCCTCTGCGAAGCTCAAGGCTGAATCTCTCCTTTCTCTCTCCTCTCCTTCTCCTCTCCCCTCACCATCCACTTCTAACCCTCTAGAAAGAAAGGGGAAAACATCCAAAGGATATCCTTCACACCAGTCCCTCTGCAGAACCAGGAGTCCTTAGAGAGCGTCTAATGCCTCTCCTCACCCAGCAGCCCTGAGTCTACTCCTTCAGCAGGCCCAGTTTCTTTAAGGCCTCCCGACGGTTCTCATCTGGAATGCCTTTGGGGGTGATCTTAACACTGACACATGGAGGCCGGGGAAGCTTGTCTCGGCTCTGTCCTGGGTAGGAGAAACGTTGGGAGCTCTTTTCCTGCTCTAGGTCTGCCAGCTTGCCCACCTGGATGTTGGCAAAGTCTTTCCCTCCACCCAAAGAGGCTGGACGGGGCCTGGTGTTGCGCAGAACATTCGGCGAGATCCTGTCCAAGAAAGGGACCTTGCCCAGAGAAGTGCTGGTCTGGGGTGGGTTGTGCTTTTCAGCTAAGAGGTAACTGCTCAGCCCCACTCCTGACCGTTCCAGAGTGTTGGACTTGAAGTTCATCTGCCGAAGGCCAGGGATGGAGCCTTCCTTCAGCTCCAGTCTGGAGTCCGATCTTGATTGAGTTGGGGGGCTGCTGCTGACTTTTGTGGGCTTGGGGATGGGGATGGGTGTGGACGGAGGACCTGTAGCCTTAGCTGAAGCAGGAACAGAAGCTACAGCTTGAGATGAAACTGGAGCCTGGACTCCACTAGAAGCAGAAACTGGAGCAGGAGCAGGGGCTGGAACTGAAGCCCGGACTGGAGCAGGAGCCTGGCTTGGAGCAGGAGCCAGAATGGGAGCAGGGTCTGGAGTGGGAGCCTGAGCTGGTGATTGCTTAGACCTGAGAATGCTCCCAGACTTGGCCAAATGGAGGTTGGGTTCATCATTGTGGTCTTGGGGGAGTCCTAACTTCTCTAGTGCCTCTCGCCTGGCTCGCCTCTGCTCCTGGAGCCCAGAGGCTACAGAACCAGCACGCTCCAGAGTCGCTTCTCTTGGGGTAGCTTGAGAACGGTGAGAGAACCGGTTCTGAGGGTCACTAGGAAAGTTACTGCGACTGGTCTTCAGTATAATATTGGGGGGAAGTTTGCGGGACTTGGGAGCTGTTGGGGGAGGAAATTTAGTACCCTTATCATCTCCTGCCGGGAGGGGAAAGTCTTCAGATCCCCGGTTTTCAGAAGGCAGAGTCGGAGGCAGCCCAGGCTGCCTTGAGACCCCTTCCAAGTTCTTCTCACTGGTTCTTTGGGACATATTCTTCAAAAATGCTTCTTTCTTCTGGGTGTCAGGTGCCGAGTGGGGCCAGGGCAAGTTTCCTTGACCTGGCTTTGTCTTCTCTTTAAGGGAGAGGCTCCCTCTAGTACCTTGCTTCTGGTAAGTGTCCCGGAAAGCCTCTGGTGGGGGTATGAGTACCTCCGCTAATTCAGAAGGTGTCCCTGGAGAGACAGGTGGGGCCACACTGCTGCCTCTGTTTTGCAAAGGTGTTGACACAAGCCCTTTAGGGATATGTCCTTCAGACTGACTAGAGAGACAGGTGGAGCCCTCTCTAAGGCTCTGGTCCCTGCTAATATGGATGTTCCGGGGAAGGCTGTGGGATCCAGACTTAAGGCCCAGCTCTTGGGCTTGCCGAAGATGGGTCAGACTGGATTGAATATCCCTCTTCTGCTCTGATCCCTCCTGAGTCAGTCTTTCCTCTGGAGAGCCTGCAGTGAGGAGGTAAGAGGGAGCAGGGATGTACAGAGAGGAGGCAAACAAAAATGAGAATCCTGCTAGAGAGGAAACAAACATTCCCAACAACCTCTGCACTGAACCCTGAACTCCAAATAAATGACTGATCATTTCTCTCTCTTGTTAAAGGGGACAGGCATTCTTCCCTATGCAGTTGCATGACTCAGATCAGAAGATTTTCTTTCTTTTTTAAAATTAAATTTATGGGTTTTTTTCCAATTAATATTTATTTTTTTCTCTATTCCACATCACTTGGGAAAGAAAAAAAAAACCCAACCTTCTAACAAATATGCATACTATAGCCCAGGGATTAATCTTTTACAGAAGAAGGAAGAAATGGGAGGAGGTCCAGTCCCAGATCAGTCTCTTGGCCATGGGGAAGCTCTCCCCCACTCCCATTGTGATGAACTGAGGATGGAGACAGACAAGGAAGATTCCTTTCTGCTGCTACCCCCAGAGTTTCCAGATGGCTCAGACCCTTCTGGGATATACGACCTAACCTTTCTACCTCCAAAGAAGTCTTGCCCATTCCCCATGGACATCTTAACAGTTGTGCAAAACCACAGGTTAACTTAAAGGACTGGCATGGCCTCTCTTTTCCTCTCCTTGCCAACTGGGCATATAGCTCAACCGAACTCAGAAAAGGAAGTCTCATGACTGTGGGTTTAGTTTTGAGTCCAGCAATACATAGAGCTTAAACCTTAGAAACTGTCAGAGAAATAGCTTTGATCCCTCAAAGGAAACCCTACTCTTGTGCTGTGCTAGGGCCTAGACACTCTATGCTAGGAACAGAAGTATTCTACTGCCCACAAGTACATCAACCCTGCCCCACGCCCCAAACTTATGTTGTCAAAGCATCTCCCACAACAGATTACATAAAAAATGGGCCTTAGCCCCTCTGCCCCTCCCTTCTCTTCTCCATATCTCCCACAGCTTCATGCTCTGGGCCCCTGAGATTAGCTTAGCCAACCCAGACTGATAGTTTCCCCAGTACCTCCTATCCACCCCTTCATTCCTCTCTCTTTCATAGGCTTGGTCTCTTGAAGATTTCCTCATGGGCAGGACAAATACAAGTCAACCTTTTTGCTTCTTGTCTCACCCAGCCCAGCAAGGGAGAAGGGAAGAGAGGAAAAGGGATAGAGCAGAAGAGGAGGAGAGGGGAAAAGGAAGACGGAGAGAAGGAAGGAGGGAAGAAGGAGAGAGATCTTCTTAAGTTGACTTATAAAGAGCTCATCCCCCACTGACCTACAACGAGTCAATATTTGGACCAAGGGAGAAATGAACAATCTGGATTGACTTTAGTTCTCTGCCCACATCCCATCCCTTCCTTCAACCCTTGTGGCAACTTGTGTGTACCTCTCTGGGATACTTCATTATTTCATGGATGGGTCTTATCTCCCAATATGATCCTTGAGGGCAGGGTCTGTGCCTTATTCATTTATTAAGTATGGTGCTTTACACATAGCAGGCACTCCATAAATATTCATTGAACTGAGAACTAGACAAAGGGCAGGCTGTTGAAAATGGTTAGTGAGATCTACTGACTTTTAAGGTTGTACTTTTAAGAGGTACCCAACATTCTTACCCTGGAGAGCAGGCTGTGTCCTTGGGCCCTGGGGTGTGGCTGGCTCAGATTCGTCAGTAGAGAGGCCACTGTCAGCCTCCTTGTCTAAGGACCCAATGGTCTCTTCCAGGAAAAGTAGACACTCTTTTTCTTCTGCTGATAGGAAGTCGTAGCTGTTGTCACTCTGTAAGCCACCAAAGGATAATTGAAAAAAAAGTTGGTTTAGGGAAAGAGGGGGCAATGTGAAAATTAGATCTGCAGAAACTGACAGGGACCAAGCACCGCCCTGTCCTGCTCCCTCTGTGGAAGGAATGCTGAAGAGCTGGAAATGGAACCCACAGTACCTCTCTACCAACCTGGATCAACCCGCTCAGGCTGTTCTCTCAACCCTTGGGCACCAGGAAAGGGATCACCAGAGAAACAGTTCCCTGTGATACTGTGATCTACCAAACATGCAGAGGTTGTAACTTCCCACCTCTATGTCTTTGCACACCTCATTTCCAATATCTGGAATGCTTATCCTTCCCTCATCATCACCACCTGTTAGATTCCTACTCCCTTAAAGCCCAGTTCAGGTGCTCCCTCCTCCATGAAACTGTCCCTGAACTTTCTTCTCCCTCCCCTCCATACTGACTTTCCCCCTTGAACCTCAAATAATACTTTGTTTTTCAATTCTACTGTACTTGTAAAATATTGAATATGAAAGCTATCTCTGTATGAAATGTTGGCCCTGCTAAACTGTAAGCTTATCCAGCCTAGTCTCTGCATAGGATAGATGGCTAATAATTTTTGTTAAATAAAAAACAAATGACCTTCCCTCCAAGTTCTGGGGTCTATTAGTTAGTGTAAAGGACTGGAAATCAGAAAAAAAAAATAAAGATTTTAATCCTTGTTCCCTTAGCAATGGTGTCAGTAAATCTTTTACATTCTATGTTTTCCCCCAGCAATAAATGTAAAGACAAGAATAATACTTTGGCTTGCATAGTGATTTTCCTGTTACAAAGTACTTTCTCAAGGACTTTTAAAATATCCAAAAGAGAAAAGAAGGAGGTTCAAATGGAATAAAGAAAAGCAGGACAAGATGGACACATATATGCATATAGATAAATGCATTTTATATATATATATATATATATATATGTGTATATATACATATATATATATACACACACATACATACATACATAAATGTGGTAGAAAAAAACAAGTTGTAGATTAGAAATAGATTCATAATTTCTTTTTCTGGCTTTGGTATATGCAAACATTCATGCTTGTTGATGATTCTCTAGCTCACAATACATATATATTTTTAATGTTTTTATATATTTTATTTCATTCCTACCAAGGACAATATAAGGACAGATGTAAACTATAGCTAACTTGATTATCCGTGGTGATAGGGATAGGGAGTAAAAATATAGATAAGTTATTTATCCTTGTCTTTGAAATTCATTACACCAAGGATTTGTAAGCAGTTAGTGGAGCAATGAATAGAGAGAGCTGGGCCTAGAGCCTGGAAGACCTGGCCTCAGACACTTACTAGCTATGTAACTCTAGGTAAGTCAGCTTCTGTTTGCCTCAGTTTCCTCAACTGTTAAAAATAGGGATAATAGCACCTACCTCCCTCAGTTATTGTGAGAATCAAATGAAATATTTGTAAAAGAGCACTTGGTGCCAGTGCCTGGCACACAGTAGGCACCAAATAAATGCTTATTACCATACACTTCCCCTTCCCTTAGAAAAGCTGACCTCATGATATTTGGCTGAGACAATGAAGCCATGTTTCCTAAACACTCACCAACTAATGAGAGAAGACAAGAATTCAAGTAGGAAATCAGAGAAGAGGAAGCCAGATAATGCTGTTCAGTGTTTTAGTTGTGTTTGACTTTCCATGACCCCATTTGAAGTTTTCTTGGCAAAGATACTAGAGCAATTTGCCATTTCCTTCTCCAACTCATTCTACAATTTACAATTTACCAAACTGAGGCAAACGGAATTAAGTGACTTGTCCAGGATTACACAGCTAGTAAGTACCTGGCCAGATTTGAATTCAGGTCTTCCTGACTCCAGACCTGGCAAACACTGTGCCACCTATCTCTCCCAAACTGGACGATATTTCAGTGATCGTTCACAAAGTAGGGACTCCAGATATGAGTGGGATTTGACTAGAGACAAAAAACATTTGGGGGTATTTGGAAGAAAGTAACAAGTAGAAGAATAATAACAGGAGACCGGGGCATCAGTTCCCCAAGACTTCTAATTAAGTCAGGCAGTAGGTGGTTTAGTGGTGAGAGCTCAGGATGTGGAGTCAGGAAGACCCAAGTTCAAACCCAGCCTCAGACACTTAGTAGTTGTGTGATCCTGGGCAAGGCATTTAACCTATCTCTGCTTCAGTTTCCTCATCTGTAAAAGGAAGGTTCCTGCAGTTTTTGAGAACATAAAATGAGACATTTGTAAAGTGATTTGCAAACCTCAGAGCACTCTTAATTTCTCCTTCTTCTCCCACTAAAGCCTGAAGAGACCTGGAAACTACAGAGCTGGGTGGCCTTGAGGCCAGGCACCAACAATCCCCTGGGGGAGGGGTGGTTTCCTCCACCTATTTACCTGCCCTTCAAATATTAAAGATAGAAAACAAAAATGCACAGAGTTTGCTAACTCTATTGGCTCTTCCTACATACAGGTCCTTGTGGGTTGGTAGAAAAGTTAGTGTTGGGGTGCAAAGTAGAACAGGTTGCTAGCTCACCCAAATACAGTCTGTAGGCCCCTAACCACTCTGGTCTCCTAACTTCCTTCAGCAACCAACAGCAGGAAGTCCAAAAAGAAAAGGTATCTCCTTTCATGCCAAGGATGGACCAACTCTCATCTGCCTGGTGGATAATTCACTTTGGCTGATGTTTAGTCAATTAGAGATGAATGAATTCAGAGATTCAGTGAATTCTCAGACCTCTTCCTGCTATGTCCATTCTTGCTTATTCATATTAACTTTAAGAAAGGGTTAAAGATAGGGGCTGGACCTGTGACTGCACAGGTATAGGAAACTCCCAGGTGAGAAACTCCCTGTACCAATGTAGGTCAGCACCTTTTCAGCAATTTGTAAGTCTCAAAGAATTGCCCAGGGCACAAGGTTAAGTGATTTGCTCAAGCTACACAGCTGGTACATCCGAGGTACCATTTAAGGCTAGCTCCAAAGTGAGCTCTCTGTATACCATTACACCATGGTTTCTCTCTTCAACAAAGCAGAAGTAAAAAGATTCACCTGCTGTAATCCTTCTCCCTTTTCAAAATATGTTCTATGACCTAGTAGACATTACTTGGGATTATCTGCTCTGGGAAATGTGTGTGTGTGTGTGTGTGTGTGCGCTATTTTTTCCTAATTTATTATACAGACAAAATTAAACTAGAAAATTATCCTCATGAGTCTCATTCTCCTCCGTAATATGAGGGGATTGAACCAAACAGTCTCCAAAGTCCCTTCCATCTTTAAGATTCAATAATCCCTTTCAGACATATTTTAAAAAATAAAACATACAAAACATAGCAGGGTCCATAGAAGGATGCTGTTGTCATTAAGCTTATTCTCGCTTCTCTCTTTGATGCATTTGAGCACTTATTTTGGGGGTTACTGAGAATTTATATGTTCTACTTGTGACTCATTTCTTTTACACCTTGTTCACTTGTTTTCAGTCATGTCTGACTCTTCATGACCCCATTTGGGGTTTTCTTGGCAAAGATACTGGAGTGGTTTGCCATTTCCTTCTCCAGCTCATTTTTATGATGAGGAAACTGAGGCAAACAGGGTTAAAGACTTGCCAAGGGTCACACTGCTAGTAAGTGTCTGAGGACAGATTTGAACTCAGGTTTTTCTGACTCCAGGCACAGTACTCTGTCCACTGAGCTACCTAGTTGCCTACCTTTTACACCTAGAGATACTAAAAAGTAATTCTTGCAAAGGACAAAGAATCTTTAGTATAGAAGGAAGGTGAAGAGATCATGTCGTGTCTACCTCCAGAACTCCACTGTCTCTGGAAGAAGGACAAAAGCTCTCAGGGAATGATATTTGACAGTTACCCTTAGTCACCCATTTCAGTTCTTTCTTTTTACCTTCTCTGTCAGGAAGTTCTTTCAAAGATATAATCTAAATTCTCCAGGCTACAAAGAGACAAAAGACTTTCATCCTTCCACCATCCAGGTGCTTTGCTAGAAAACTTTCCACTGGTGGTATATTGCCAGCAATGTCTTCATTAGATAGACTTTGAGTCCCCTACAGACACTCTAGCTCAACATGGCTCCTGCCAAGAATAGACCTCTCACTGCAGAATTCCCCAGGTGCACCTGAGTTTCTGAAAGCTGACTTCAAGTTTCCACATGGAGTGGGAAGGCCTTAAGAAAGCAAGTAGAATGATGTTCTATGAACCCAGAGTCTCTAGGCAGAATTTTGGGGGTTTTGGGCAACCTAACCTAGTGCAGAAAGTACCTGACTGGGAGTCAGCAAACATGCTTTCTAGTCCCCGCTCTGACTCTTAATAGCTGTGTGATCTTGGGTGGGTTACCTAATCTCAATTAACTCATGTAACGAAAAGGTTGGTCTAAGCTACTAGGTGGTACAGTGGACAGAGTGTTGGACTTGGAGTCAGGAAGACCTGAGTTTGCCTTAGGCAATTACTAGTTGTATGACCCAGGGCAAGTCAGTTAACCTATATCTGTCTCACATTTCTTAACTGTAAAATAGGGATAATCATTGCATCTTTCTCATGGGAGTATTGTGTGCATCATATGAAATAACATGTCAAAGATTTTGCCAACCTTAAAGTGCTATGGTTAGATATAATAATAATTATTATTGTTATTTCTCTAAGGTCCCATATAATTCTAATGTCCTCTAACTAAGTGATGTTTCCTCTCCCACTGCTAAATGAAAGGGAGGGAAACAAAGGCTTCCCTCGTTTACCCCACTCTATCCCACTTCCCTCTAAGGCTGTACTGCCCTGTTTTCTACTAAATAAAAGGTGAACTGAAGAAAGCATGGTGGCATGATTAATTCCCCAGCCAGAACACCAAAGGAAAAGCCACAGAGGGCAAGGATGAGGATGACAGAGCAGAAGCAGGAGTGGTTACAGAGCAGCTGTGCAGAGATGGGGCTGAGGGAGCCAAAGCAGGGATGGGGAGGGTCAAGGGAGGCCGTACGTACAAATCCCGAGTGAGTGGAGTTGATGCTCGTCATGCTGTCACAGCTGCCAATGTGGGTCACGGGTTCCGTGCCAGGGCCCTCTGGCCACAGCTCCCTTTCAGGCATCACCCGAAACAAGACACAGGAGGCGGTGAAAGGGGCTCCCAGAGAGAGAAGCGAAGGGAAGCGGAGAATGTCCCAGGCCTGGCCTGAAAAGAGAGAAGAATCACAGCCACTTTGAACCAAGGCCTCTGCCCTGTGCCTCAGCCATGTGGCATGGCTCCTGGAGTCACCAAGCAAAGAATTAGAAAGGGATCCACAAGAGGAACTCGGCCATTTGCCTCTGTGGAAGCAGGAGGCAGTGGTAGAGAGGCAGACCCATTCAGAATCACAGAAGCTCAAGAGCTGAAAGGGACCTCAGAAGTTATCTAAATCCACCCAATACTTGAACAGGAATTCCTTGAGTAGCAGGCCTCTCAGCCAAGGCTCCTTCCTCCCAAAATAGTCCATTCAATTTAGGCCAAGGTTTCCCTTACAAAAAGCCAAAATCTGGCTTTCTATAGCTTCCACCCATTGTGCCCATCTCCCCCTGAGCCAAGCAGAATCAGGCCAATCCTTCGACAGGACAGCTTTTCAAATATACGACAACAGGTATCATTCACACTGCATCCTCAATATTTCTTTTCTGGGCATTAAAAAAAAAAGGTTTCATTACTTTCATTACATTTACCATACTCCATTCTTTCCCATCAGAACGTTTGACCAAAATTCCTTTTGTTAGGGAGGTACCCTTTCTTTTTGGACTTCATGCTATTGGTTGCTGAAGGAAGTTACAGAGACTGGAGTAGTTAGGGAATAGGAAAGAAATATGCTGGTATATAAGAGTGATGACTCTAAAGAATGAATACAAGACAGACCATATCTCTTGCACAGCCTCAGCCTTTGGAGCTTTAGTGGGCAACAAAGCAAACCCTTTGCTCTTTCACCCCATCCCTTATTTTCACTTGCCCAACAGACACTAATTTCGTGACTCTGAGTGGTTTTCCTCATCAGTGGAGCAGAAATAATGACAGCAGCTACCTCACAGGGTTCCAATGAGCACAAAAGAGATTTAACATGTATAGAAAGTACTTTTCAAACCTCAAAGCACCATGTAAATGTGAACTATCATCGTCATTATTATTATGTTAGAGTTAAAATGGCACCTTTCTTCTCAAAAGATTTCCTTTCACATAGGCAAACAACCTAAGCGTACTATGGGAGGACTGAGGTGACCTTCCTATAATACCAAAAACTGAGAACTAACAGAGGCTAAGTGATCTGTTCAAGGTCACAAAGCAACACTGGGGCCAAGGTAGGATGGGGACCCAATTCAGTGCTTTAACTCCTGACTGTAATGGACTAGGGGGAACATAAAATTATATACCTATCATTTCTCTTTTCCTGCCACCCACCAAAACTCTTAGTAAATTTCCGGGGGGGTGGGGATGGGCTCTACTTTGAAAACTCGGCCTTAGGGACTGGAGGGAATGCCTGCCAAGTTCAGTTGCCAGTGCCGAAGTCAAGTTTGGACTAAGCAAAGTGAGTCAGCTTACAAGTCACACAGAGCTGGGAGGAGGTATTTGACATTAGGTGGGGCAGGGTGGGGTGAAGAGCACTGGCCAGGCATCTCTGAAGCACATGAGGTTCCTGGACCTGTCAGGGATGGGGGACGGGGTGATGGGGAGAGGGTGGACCTCAGGTATCAATGAAAAAGTCCAACGCCAATACCTCACTGAGGAGGAGTTGAAACTGGAATCGGAGGTGTAAACATGGATCAAGAAAACAGTTGCTCACCACCTGGAGACTTCATCAAGCAGAAGCTGGCAGCCATGTGGTTTAGGGAAATAGGAACATGAAAGAAGCAGAAGGAGAGGATGGAATTCAGCAGTGAGGCTGGCCACACCTTTCAGAAGTGAAGCTAAACAGCCCCCTACCCTTTTCCCCACACCAAGCCAGCCTCCCCCAGGGAATGGATTTCAAACCCATTGCCAAAGCTGCCAGTGTCCTTCTCCCTCCTCCAATGACCTTGTATGTTTACATGTTGTATCCCCATCTGGAGAATATAAGCACTTTGAGGAAAGGGAACGGTTCATTTTTGTCCTGGTATCGTGAGCACAGTGCTTTTCACACCCACTTATTGTTGCTCAGTTATTTTTCAGTCATGTACTTTTCATGACCCTATTTGGGGGTTTTCTTGGTAAAGATACTGGAGTGGTTTGCCATTTCCTTCTCCAGCTCATTTGACAGATGAGGAAACTGAGGCAAACAGAGTACAGTGACTTGTCCAGGGTCACACAGCTAGCAAGTATCTTGAGGCCACATTTGAAATCAGAGAAATAAGTCTTTCTGTCTCATATAGGCTCAGCACTATATCTGTGTTACCTATAGTATGCTACCTAGCTGCCCCTTCATATAGAGCAGTGGATACTTAATAAATGCATGTTGAATTAATTTTTACAAAAACCATGATCAAATATCAAGGTATTTGGAGCAGACCTTGGAGATCACCTGCTTCAATCCCTTTACTCTACAAATATGTAAACTGATACATAATTGAGGTGCGTGAAGTGCTCTATCCAAGAGAGCACAGGGAGTCAGGAAATCTGGGCTTTGAATCCAGGTCTTCTGACCCCAAATCTAAGACTCTCTTCACTACAATATACTGTCTCTAGGACAGCATGTAGTGTGGTAAGTGCTCAGTAAATGTCTGTGGAGAGAATTCCATGAATGTCCATTCCAGAGTCCCAGCCTGAACTGTCAGGAGATTCTTACTAGTCAGAAGCTTTGACCCTTTCTGCTGGCAAGCTTATTTTTCACATCTTTCTTAGGTCTTTAGAATATACCATAAATAAAGGTGGCTCAATGGAGGCCTCAGATTCCAGGCTCAGTCAGGAAGACTCCTTTTCCCAAGTTTAAATCCAGCCTCACACACTTACTAGCTGTGTGACCCTGGGCAAGTCACTTAACCCTGCTTGCCTCACTTACCTCATCTGTAAAATGAGCTGGAGAAGAAAATGGCAATCTACTCCAGTATCTTTGCCAAGAAAACCCCAAATGGGGTCACGAAGAGTTAGACATGACTAAAAACAACTGAACGACAACAACACAAATAAATAAAAGAGAACTAACATGGCTCAGTGAACTGGGTGATAAGCTATACTTGGCCTCAAAATCCTCCCCTGTAAAATAGTGGCATCACAGAGCATTGTAGAGAAGGCAGGGGCTAGAAGTTAAGAGCATTAGTTCACTAACTAGCTGTGTGACCTTGGGCAAGTCACATTTCTTCATTTAACAGATGTGGAAACTGAGGCACAAAGAACTGGCCAGAATAAAATACCTCCTAAGGTCTCTGCCATTTTAATATTTAATAATTGTGTAACTTTGGATAGTTAACTAGTATTAGACTGCATTTCTTGAATTAAGATGGAAGGTTTCCAGTGAAACACATACAAAGTATCTATAACAGATCAAAAGGTCATTTAAACTATTTCCTTTTTTTTTTTTTTGGCGTGGCACAAACTCAGACAAAGAGCCTTCTCTCACCAGATACAAAAAGACTAGTCACTAAGGGTATTCTATCAATCAATATGCATGTATTAAGTGGTTACTTTGTGCCAGGCACTATGTTAAGGCTGAGGTTACAAATAAAAAGGTAAAAGGCAGTCCCTACCCTTAAGGAGCTCAGTTTGGTGAGTAAAACAAAATGCAAACAATTTTATATAAATTGTAAATGACCAACAGAAGAAAGGCAGTAGAATTATGAGAGATGGGAAAGGCTTCCAATAGGAGGCAGGATTTTAGATGGAACTTGAATGAATCAAGGGAAGCCAGGAAACAAGAAATGAGGAGGGAGGGCATTCCAGACATGAGGAACATCGAGTGAAAATGTCTGGAGTGGGAGATGCAGTGTCTTATTCTGAGGAATTCTGTATCTCAGAGTATGGTGGAGCATGCACTGCTTCCACCATTCTGACCTCTAAAATTCAGTCACATAGGACCTAACTCGTTGCTTCCACAGAGGCACCTTTCTCAAAATTGACCTTTTCTCAGTATCTATATCCTCTGTCATGCACACCAATGGATGTCAAAGACCCGTGGACAAAGGTCTCCTCTGCTTTTAGAGTCTCAGTCCTGGGACAGATCCCAGAATGTAACCTGGTCTCGTTTCTTGCCTCAAGTCAAATTTATGCCCAAGAAATGGGGAGGGGGTCCTCAAGAAGTAAACCAGAAGATACCTTCACCAAGGTCAGTCTTTCCCCTACTCCCTAAGTCTCATACATGCCAAAAGGGTGAACCTAAACCTGATTGAATGCTAAGGTATTTCTAATCAACCCTCCCCTACCCCTTTGACATTGAGAAGGCTTTTATGAAACAGTCCCCTCTGCCTCCTCCCCCTCTGACCCACCTTAGCTGAGGTGCCCTACTTCTGCTGGATGGATTTACAACCCTGAAACTAGGGGCTGGTTCAGAGAATTCTCGAAACTAGAGGCATTCTTGCTTGATAAGGGGCCCAAGAAACAGTCTAAACACTTCCAGTGAAAAAAGCTCAAGCAGGTGGTATTTTTTTAACCCCTGGCTGCCCTGGTAGACTTAGAGAGGAGCAGGTTTGAGTATTTTTGTTTTTGCTTTTTACTTTTTGATTGTTTTTTTTTTGGTTTTGGTTTTGATATTTGGGGTAGAGGGTTGGTGTTTGACTAGACCTGAGATTTCATGAGTATACGGAGCACTTGGTGAGGAACTTCATCTACCAAAGAAGGCACACAGATCTGTGCTTTCTCTGCAGCTTATGGCCTTAGACAGCTGCCTAGAACACGGAGAGACTGTAACTTGCCCAGGGCCACACCAGCAGCATGTGGCAGAGGCTGGTCTGAACTCTGGTATTTCTAACTTGAGACTAGCTCTCATCCTCTATGCCATGTTGCTTATAGGGTTAAAAGCTCTATAGAATCTGTAGCCACCCCAGAGGAACATTAAATATTAACCACTGTATTTGTACCAGCCAAGGCTTAGGGAAAAGTCAATAAATATTTGGCATATGGAGCACAGGCATCTCAAGAGGGGAAAGGAGAAATGGCTCCATTCCAGTCCTAGGCCTTTAGAGGGCAGAATGCTCTCTGTTCCTCTTCAGCCCTTATCTCCTGGCTTCCTTCAATTTCCACCCAAAATC